TCACATGTGGGATTTAAGTCTTAATACATGTGTGCCCAATTTTCTTTGATAGGTTTTACATATAATAAGCATAGAGATCCAGTTTCAGACGGTGCATTTTTGTTAATTATTAAGTCGGTCTTCCATGCAAGCAAAATGATTTGGTTAGAAACCTCAAATCATGATGGAAAATCTGCCTACACAAGCCGTCATAGGCAGTTTGTTTTAAATGAGATGAACCCCACGGCCTGCCAAGGGCAGACCTTTCCATCTCCTTCTGTTTTGAAGGAGATAATGATTCTCTTTTACTTGGAATAGGATTGCATTTTCTATCTCTCTCATCCTGCGTTCCTCACTCACCTTTACCTTTCCATCGCCCTGTTCCGCTTCCCCCTCACCCCGCCTCCTCCCATCAGTCGGCCACTGCGGGTACTCCCTCCACAGTGGCGATGCTCTATCGCTCCGTCACAGTGCAAGCGAGGGATGAGAGACAAATCAAAACCACCTTATTTCCCCTTAGTCCCTCTCACCATGCCAGATTGAATTTGAGGCTTTTCATCTTTCTCATCTTTCTCTTTTCCCCGCCTCCCTTGGCGTCCACTCAGAATTACCTGGAACCGAACCGTCTCGCGACTTGATGACACACAATCGTTTATGCGCGTGAGGCCAGATAGTTGGCAGCCCTCGGCTCAGGTTCTTTTGGTTGGTTTTAAATTTTGTACTTCAGTCATGTGCGTTTTAAAAAACGGTCAATACTAAAATCCGTGACACCTTGCCTTTTCCAGTGTCTTGTAAATCCTCATGCATGCAAATGTCCAGATTAGTTTTGCAGGCTTTAATGTCCAAAAATGTCTGATGTTTAAAAGAGAAATGTTGAAATCCCATAAGAATGCCTATTTTTATATTCTCCCTGCCTTCTTGGCTCATTCTATATGGGGTTTAAATCCTCTTGGTACTAAATAAGATTTATATAAATCAATTTTTATTTTCTGATAAAACATGTTTTTGGCTGCATTCCAGTGGTAAAAATTACTTAGTTGTCTGTCATATGCAAAGTGCATAGTTACAGTTGCTACCAAGCCATTTATAATGTTAATTATAGAGTGTATCACAGTACAAAGCATCTGCATTTCTCAGGGCATGGACACTTATTACAGGTCTGTCAGCTGCACATCCATGAAACGTGTGAAATTCCTCCACATCCCAACGAGATCTGGTGATTGGAAAACCAGCAGCTTGAACCAAACGATACAACGCAGGATTGATCCATGCTTCCACATGGGTTGGGCCAAATTGCAATCCAAATATCGCAGTCAGAAATCAAGACTCATAAGACCAAAAATGTATTTCCTATTTTCTGTTGTACAATTTTGATGAGCCCATGTGAAGTGTAGCTTGAGTTTCCTGTTCTTAGATGACAGGAGTGTGCTCTTATATAGTTATAGCTCTTATAGTTACTGTTAGTGTTGTCCTCATGTATTTTCAGAGCTTTCTCTGTAATTGTTTCTGTTGGAAAATCTCAGCAGATCAGCAGTTTTTGAAATTCTCCACCAACCACCAAATTCAAAATCACCGAAGTCTCCTTTCTTCCCTAATCTGGTGCCCATATTGAACTTAAGAAGGTTGCCATGTTTAAATATCTACTTTGGACACGTTTAACAGGTAAACTTAATGATGTGGTGAGTCAGTACAACACGTGCATTTATACCTGTGGCTAACTTAGAAACACCTGGTATGCATGGTTTTGGATGAGACCTTGGGCACCATGTTATTTCTAATAAAGTTTATATCTTCAAAACTGGGAAATGATGTGTAGACAAGAAGAAAAACATATACATTTGATTTGATCTGATAGGCCAGTAACACATTCACTTTAGGCACATTAACAAATCTACAAATGTTATTTTTGACAACTGTAGTCGATTTTTACTGTATGAATTCTTTTTGTGAAGCTGTCATTACTGAGCAGACGTGAGCACAGACATATTTAGAAGATTTATGGCCAGGGTGGTCTGATCTGAAAATCAAAACTGACAGACGCATTAGCATCGCCTGCTAATTAGACTGCACAGCAGTGTGTGTTGGAGGAATACGACTGACGAAGTGAACTGAATGGAATTTGGTTTTGTACTTAGACAAAATGACTCTAATTCATTTACCCACATGTGGCCAATCCCCAAAATGAAAAGTCTGCAATCATAAAATCATAAAGCATGGTGCGGTGCAGAAGTAGAAACTTGTAACTAACTGGTCTCGCGTGTCGATGTGATTCTCACTTGCTACATGAGCATGTGGGGGGCCGTGACACCTGGCTTCTGCTACCTGAGAAAAATGACTCTCATCTCCCTCTCGGTTGGACTTACTCCCACCCATCCTCCCTTCACCCCACCTTTTCATTTTCAATTATGGGTTGGAATATGAATCTTTAATAGGGTGATAATTGTGCTAGCATATTTGCTGTCACCCACCATTAGGCCAGATTAATTAGCCCATTTAGTTTAGCTTAAGAAAGTGTCTAGCTGAGGAATGGGGGCACTGATGGGAGGCGGGCAGAGAGTAGAATCAGCACAATCTGTTCTATATCATAGTGCCATCTTTTTCCTGCTTTCTTTCCCTCTCTTTGTGCTTCTGTGCCTTTTCCCCCCTTTGCCATTTTAACTCTTTTTCTCATCTAACAAAGTCTGTTAGTCTGTTTCATCAGCTGCTCCCGTCTGCCCTGCTCTCAGCAATATTTTCTGTCGCTCTATGAGTTTTCAAGTGGTTGGTGGGGAAATTGATGGTGCAGTCGAGTGACACAGTTGAAACTTTCTGCAACTATTAATTCTGTAATTACCAGTATAGCCAGTGGTGTATTTTTCTTTCCAGCCAACCTAGTTTTCTAAAAGTGACATTTTTGGAGATGAAAAATATGTCAATTAGGCTGAAGTAGTTATGAAACTGATTTATCTGGTTGATAAAATTAAATTCAGTCAGTGGTTACTGATTTCCACCTGTCCAAGGTGGTGCCTGCTGCTGGAAAGCTGAAATAGGTTCTTCTTCTACTCATTTAATACACAGAAACACATTTTATACTTAAGTAAATGAGCTCCCACTTGAACAAACTGATGCAAATGGGTTTTTTTTTTATTACGGTCATGGTGATTTTGCTTTGGGGCAAGGCCAAAACCTCTTTTTGTATGCATGAAAAACCCTGCTAGCAGCAATCAGAACACAGAATACATTCACAGAAATACTGATGAAGATGGCATCACGAATTGTTTCACGAATGGAGACCAAAAAACATCTAAAAGAATAAATATTAGCTTTACATTTTTTTAAGTGGCTAGAAGCCACTGTGACGGGGAAGCAGCTGAGGTGGTCTTTTGGCATCTGGTCCCTCTGGAGGTCTTTCAGCCACGTTCGACTGCGTGGAGATTCCAGAGTGGACCTCAAGCCCACAGAAGAGGTTTATATATATCTCATTTTAGTCTGTTACCTATCACCTTCAGGATCCCTCAGGAGGAACTGGAAGGTCTTGCCAGGGAGATGGACTCGTGCTTAGCTTTCACTTCAGCCTTTACAACTTTTTTCTTTTTCATGTGATGTAAAAAGGTGGATTTTGAAATTAACATTAACTGTCCAACATCTCATTTTTTGTTTTGTTTTTTGGTCTTTTTTTATATTTCAAAGTTTTGAAACTAAATTATTTAACTGTATTTGATATTTGTGTGTGGAGGTGTATACGTGTGATTTACTTATTGTCTGTGCCTGTCGAGTGACTGGATGAAGTTAGCTAGTAGCTAAATATGGAGATTACTGTTCTCAAAAACATTGGTGTCGCGGAAGAGACTGAACTGAATTTATGATAACTATGACCAAAAGAAATGAACATGATTCTGAGGAGCTTGCAAGAAACTATGACAAGAAAACATGAAACATGACCTGAACAGATTCACGAAATACCTGAAACCTGACGTTACGTGAAGGGAGGACAACAGATGCACCGACCCTGAACAGAAGAAGACAGAGAACTTAAATACACAGTGGAAACACCTGGGGAGACACAGCTGACACAAATGAACATGACGCTACAGGGGAAGTGAAACTAAACACACTGAACATGGAAACACTAGACCCTTCAAAATAACACGGGAAACATGGAGAGACAAAGACACAACAACACGAGCTTGACAATGGAACATGGAACTTTTGGCATAGAACACAAGACCAACTCGCTAGGAGAGGTAAATGGAAACAGGTAAGGGAGACGATGGCACGGGCACAACGAGACTGATGGAGACCTAGAAGAAGCATAAACCAGACTAAGACTCAACTAAGACACACTAAATAATAATACTGAAACTTAACATTATCTCATAATTATTCAAAAACACAAAATAACTCAACACAGACCCAGCCCCTGACAGCTGGTCCTGTGGTGGGTTTAATCTCCTCACACTTTCTGCATGAAGAGAGGTGACGTAGTTCCAAATGCCTGCTTATTGTTGCTCCACACATTTGTTTCTCTGGATGGAATCAGACACTCGTGAATCACCGCAAACTGAAAACTAGTGAAAAGGCAACCATATAACCGTATAAGCCAACATTTCAGTTGCATGCAACCATTTGATTCTATGTTAGCGTGAAAGTAATGCTTAACAGGGCTTTAATCGCACTCTCCACCTTGGGATAAGTTGTGGGTGTATATGTGGCAGCAGAGTGACTTGGCCATGTCACTAGCTGTATATCTCTCAGCAGGCAGTAGGAAATGAGGTCTAATCGGAGGGATATTAAAGTCACAATAGACTGCTCCTGCTATTAAGGCCTGTCAGCCCTGGCCTCCTCTCTCACCTTGATGTCGCTCAGTCTCTGAATATTTATATGTCTACATGAGGGGCTACTTACAGAGTGAAGTGTGTGCACGGTTCTCTGTGTGCGTGTGTGCTAGAAATTTATCATGGCCGTAGCTGCCCGAGCTCTTTGAATATGTTTACGTGCATCATTCTGTCTGTGCTCATGTCCACCTTCCTGTCCTCCCCCAGGTGCAGCGGGTGCGAGGCTGCTCTCGGGTCAGAGCAAACCCGTGGCCATGGATGTGGATGAGGAAGAGAATATGAGTGAGTCGGCTCGGATTTTCTCATTTGTCCGTCTGTCTGTCCGTGTTCCTGTCTGTGCGGTACATTTAAATGTCTGCTTGTACTTTTGTTTCCCTTCTTTCTGTCCGCCTGCGTGTCTTCCCTTTTACGTCCCTCTGTCTTCCTCTGCTGTGTAATCAGTGTGGACACAGTTTGGTTGCTTACATAACGCAAGTGTTTTTTCTAGCGCCTAGTCCACATTTTTAAAGCGAATCGTCTGACATGCTAGGACAAACCAAAACTGATGAAAATTAAAACTGATTTTTTTTTTTTTCAAAGCGCCATTCGTACTCGTGTTGTGAATTATCCTCACCGAGGCACAAAGCAACACGTTCACACGCAAATAAATATCGCTAATGCCGCTGAAACTTTTTAGAGGACAGCTAATCATTAAATCTGAGGTGCTCCAGGCCACACTTCAGATTCTCTCTACCTCCATCTCTTGCTTTAGAAAATCTTTTCTGCTCCAGTTTGTTGAACTTTAATTAGACACTTTGGTTTGAACTCGGCAGCCGAGGCTCAGAAAGCACGGAGACACTTGACAGAGTTCGTTTCCACACACCTACAACCATTTTGAGCTCATATTCAAAGGTAGCTGCCATCCCTGTAGAGCCCTAACTTCCGATTCTAATGAACAGTGGTGTCATACTTGCTGTTTCTGCCCTGCAAAGAAGCATGTTATGTTGCTCCATTAAGTCAAATAAGCAGTTGCAAAACAGTCTTTGTTGTGTCCCACAGCCTCTGAAGCCCCTTTCTTACATTTTTACTGCCAGTCAAAAGATGGATTTGAAGATAAAACAGCCCGAGCTCACAGAGCCCCGTTTCTTTAATACAGAGGGAACACCAGAGGAAAGCATGAAAGAATTCCTAGCTTTTATGTGACAACCTTAGCAGCTCTCGAAATTCTTTAATCACATGAATCATCCCAAATCAAAACCTCAACAAACAAGTTACTCTTCGAGTGAAGCTGCAGTAACAGGCTGCAGTATTTGGTTCACGCTGAGGATTTCAGCTCTGAAAGAATCGGGCATATGGGATTCTTTTTTTTTTTTCTTTGTGTAACTAATGGATGCTGATTACACAAACGCTGGCATGGTAATGATCACAACTGCATGTGTGTGCCATATTTCAGTGCATGGCATCGTGGCTGTTGCTCTATCGCTTCTTGAGTATTAGTGTACATCCATCCTGAAAAGTTATGATACTATAAAGTGAATAGAACGAATACAGTGAATTGTATGTATTCAATAAATAATTTTAGAGTGGGGGGAAAGGGAGCTCTAGATTTTTCTATGTGCCACTTGTATGTGTGCAGCATGCCAGACTCCTCATTTTGGGTTTTTTATGTTTTTAGTAGCTTTTTGGTCCATTCATACCATGAAACATAGCTAGCAAGACTGGTTTTATTACTACTAAATGTTTGCATTTGTATCTTTTATGCAATTATTTTCATTGAAAACATCAGATTTTGCAAAGAAATTGCAAAGAAACTAAATAAGCCAAGCGCTGCACGCTGTACATTTTAAAATGTATTTAGTTTATATTATGTCCTGGTTGCTAAACCACTCGGCTAACGCAGCGGTATCTATGGTGGTTAAAGATCAGCAGCACAGGCCGTACCTCACAGATTATCTCCATTCTAATAGGTTATAGTTATTTTTGGCTACAGCTGTGCACAGTTGCCCACCTCCTTTAATTTGCCAAACATGAATATCACTTTGCAGAATGCATGAACAAACCAAACAATATTGCATGTTTTCAGCTCATAAAATGAGGGATGTGCATTTTGTGTTCATGATCTAAGGAATATTTATTTATTTATTTTTTGGCCTTGAGACGTGTCAGTCGCAGTATGCAGATGGTACCGGCATGTCATTTTGCAACCTAAACACTGTGTTCTCTGACAAGCTCCATGGGGGGGATCTCAGAGGCGCAGGGTCTTATGAATGGCACCTCATTAGAAGCAGTTTTTCAATTCAGATTGTCCTCATTTTAAATATGACAGTGATTCTTTAAAAAAAAAACTCATCTAAAAGGAATAAAGTGCATTTTAACCTCCCACCGTGTCACCAGTCAAGAATTTAGGATCCTGCAGTAGGTGGAGTCTTCTCCTTCTGCCTCTTTGATGTACTCTCCTGTTTGCCTGGTCCTCAGCTCCTCCCCCTGCACTACTCCCCCTGCACTCCCTCAACCCAACCTACTATCCCACTCATGCACACTGCGGCCTCTCTTTCTCCTGAGTACCGCAAGGAGTAACCTATCAAGCCTTTGCTGAAGGATGTTATAAATGAAAATTTTTGCCAATATTCCATCCACTTTGTTAACTGGATTCAGTGATATGTGTTCCCCAGAACGGTATATATCTCACTGCTGTGGTTTAAAACTGAACACTGGAAGCATTTGTGGGTTTTCTACGTGAATTCAGTCGATTAAAAATTAATAGGAAAAAGGTCTGTTGGCGTGTGAGTGTGTTTCTGTTGAGTATCGATACGTGTGCTTGTATGTGTGTCTTTATGTTTGAGACCTGCAACACTGTGAAACCAGAAAAATAGATCCTTTTTCTTAGTATAACAATCTTAAACTTTAATTGTGAAAAAAGTAACATTTTGATTTCCAATTTAAAGACTCCTTGATCAAAAAAATAAATAAAATGAAGCAATACTTTTATTCAGAAATTTGGCAAAGATACAGTTTTGAGCATTTTTCAAGGTCAAAACATGTACCGATGTTCTGCTATTTGTAGTTATATCATAGGTATATCTTAATTTTTTTTGGAGGTAGTTAAAAATTCAGCCTCTCTTGCAACTTGACACAGGAACACAAATCATTGGTTCAGTTCCAAAGAGTGATAAAGGAATCTATAAATTTTGCATTTACAAGATCCTGCAACGAAGGCGTTGTAAGTTACTCTTTCTGGGCACCGCAGGTTCAAGCAGCACCGACGTAAAGGAAAACCGAAACCTGGACAACGTGTCCTGCAAAGACGGGGTGGGAGTGGCTGAACAGCTCCCTAATGGCAGTGGCCTGGGCAGTCGAAAGCGACCGCTAGAAGAGGGAAACAATGGCCACACGCATTCCAAGTTCCGGGCTAAGAAGCGCAAGAAAACACCGGGCCCGGTCCTGCCCAAGAACGCTCTGATGCAGCTGAATGAAATCAAACCAGGTCTACAGTACAAACTGCTGTCTCAGACAGGCCCGGTGCATGCGCCAGTGTTTGTCATGACCGTGGAGGTCAATGGACAGATGTTTGAAGGCATGGGCCCAACAAAGAAGAAGGCTAAGCTAAACGCAGCTGAGAAAGCGCTGCGTTCCTTCGTCCAGTTCCCCAACGCTTCAGAGGCGCATCTGGCCATGGGCCGAACACTGACAGTGAACACAGACTTTACATCGGATCAAGCTGACTTCCCCGACATGCTCTTCAACGGCTTTGAGACGCCAGCCGCGCCAGAAGAATCCTTCTATCTGGGCTCCAACGGTAGCAGCTCCCTAAACTCACTAGGGGAGTATCCACTGCCCACACCACCTGGCAGTATCCTTGTCCAGCCCCCACTGCCCCCTCCATCTGCATTCAGCTCGCCCTCCAGTGGCAAAAACCCAGTCATGATCCTCAATGAGCTTAGGCCGGGTCTCAAATATGACTTTGTCTCAGAGAGCGGTGAGAGTCACGCCAAGAATTTTGTGATGTCAGTAACAGTGGATTCACAGACATTTGAAGGATCAGGGCGCAACAAGAAGCTGGCTAAAGCCCGGGCAGCGCAAGCCGCCCTGTCTGCACTGTTCAACATGCAGCTAGACCAGACACCATCTCGGCAACCCATACCAAGAGAGGGATTGCAGCTTCACCTACCCCAGGTAAGAGGTTTCTTTTTTGAATTCAAACAGCCAAAGAAACACATCATCTAAGGATTTTCTGATTGCATCGTGCCTTTAGGCTCTTCATTATACATTTATATCTGCGACAGACTTGTTATTAAAACCCTTATTATAAAAGAAAACATGTGCATTATCATATCTCAGCATAAAAATATGAGATGCACCAGTGGGTATCAGTTAAGCAGGACTGTTTTATAATGCATAAGGATAAACAATAGACTCGTGCTTCCTCACATACTGTTCCACTAAATGCTTACATAGGTCATGAGTTACATTGTGGGGCGATCGATATGAAGTCTTGATTTTGAGAAATTGCAGATAAGAACATGTTTATTGCTGGAAGAATTCAGAAAATTATGCACTGTTTTTAATTCCAGGGAGCGATAGCTGATCCTAGATCTTTTCCATTTCATTACTTGCCTTTGAGGGAATCCAATTCCATATCAGGCCAAATTTGTCTTTGTTAAGTCAGTTGTTGTCAATTGTACGTAGCTTTAAAACTCAAAAAATTGCAAAAGTGGGAAAGACAGAAGTCTAATCACTTAATCAAAACTGAGACTGGTTTTGTAAGCAAACGGAGGTGTGAAGTTTCAAAAAATCAGCTTTTCTTCCAACACTACATATTGGCCAAAGATCCTTGAATTAAAGGCTGTTAATAAAATAACTTGACTAGTGAACTCATTCCACTGTAGCTTGTTGAGTTCGAATTGATCCGCCTGTCAAGCTCTTGTTGTTCTGCGAGGTTATCGTTGAAATCTCATTCACACCAGGTTAGCAGAGACTAAAGGGAGGCGGTACCTTTAGATTCCGCTGTAGAGGTGACTGGCAGTGTGTGAAGAGAGATAACACAGGCAGCAAAGCTAATCAGCACGACACACTGTCAACAGTCCCCTCCCCGAAGCCTCCTCCCTTTTCTTTACTCGCGCTCTCCACATGTCAACTGTTTCGTTCAGCAAGCAGCCCGTTTTAACGATAGCGCCCCCAACTAATTGCTCTATTAATTCTCTGTCGCTTGATATTTAATTTCTGCAGCCTGTTTCCATCTGCCATGGTATAATGGGTCATGTGCCGCTGCATAGAAACTCCAACCAAACCAAAAAAAATAATGATAATTAATTTTTTTTTAGAAATGATTCAGTATGCAACAAAGAAAATATTAGACAGTAGCTTATTACCAAACCATTCTGGACATGTTTTGGTGAAACGCAGAGGAAAGTTGTGTATTTTTTAAAAGTCATAGATGACCTTGGCGTTCGGAAAAAGTCAAATGGTCTGGCTACGAGCGGGTGACTCTGAAGTAGCAGGGAAGTAAAATTGGGACTAATTTTCTTAATTTGCGATCACCCAGCCGTCATCTCTCCTCATGCTTGTTGTCATTTTCCATCACATTAGTGATGAATAAAGAGCAGCTAGGGGAGCCGTGTCCATGAGCAGAAGACTTGTGAAGTTCTCACATAACTTGGACTCGATTTTTAAACCTTTGTGGGGTGTCACCGAGCATCTGTTGCTCAGGTTTGCTTGTTTGCTTTGCTCTTCCTTTTTTTTTGCCGTGTGATTCACTGTCACGAGGGAGATGGTAAATTATAGCTGTCAGACAGAACTCAAACAGCGTTGCTTGAAAGATGGTTAGGTATACCTCAGGGGGTCAGCCTAGTTTCACTTGTTGCTGTTTCAACGCTCCGAGTGCTGTTTGAAGCCGAAGCTAACACTGTGACAGGTACACAGTGCTCTAGGGGAGGATAACATCAGACATGCTTTGTAAGCTGACATATCTGACACAAGCTCGTGTTTGTGTGTCTGCATGTGTGCATGGCTTCCTGTTGTTCTGTCTGCCTTTGTGTGTGTGTGTGTGCGTGTGTGTAATTCCAGGTTCTGGCTGATGCGGTCTCTCGCCTGGTTGTGGATAAGTTCAGTGAGCTGACAGACAACTTTACGTCCCCGCACGCACGGCGAAAAGTGCTGGCAGGCGTCGTCATGACAACAGGTAAGAGTGGAGGAAGAGATTATTGGCACGTTTGTACACAGCAAAGGCTGTTTCAGAGCATCATCAGACGGAATTTTGTGGTTATAAGCCCAGAAAAAGCAGCTGACAACAAATACAGCTGAAGGCATATTTACTGGATGCTCATAGTAAACATGTTTTAAAAAAAAAAAAACCCTGTGAGCCAGAAGGTTCAGGCTTCAAAGTGCTCTAAATGCTCGCTTACGGTTTTTCTGTCTCACTTAGAGATGATATCCCTAATGTGGTCATCTCAAACACCAACCTCAAGCTGTGAGAACAGAAACTCCACCCGCCTGCTGTTTAAAAGCTACATTTACAGATGAAAGTTAGCTTAAAGAGAAGAGGGCGGAGTCAATATACCTTCTTTCAGACCAGGATGAATAGAGGAGCTGCAAAAATGCCAAGGAAATATGGAAAGGCTGTATTTTGAACAGTGATTCATATGAAGCTGCTCTGTTAGAGTAAAAGAATAATAATGAGCGTGGTAGGTCCTGGTTAAGATTTTATATTTGTATAGCCTTATAATGTGTCCTTGATTATGTATTTTTAATCATATGTGACAACTTTAATAAGTTTGACATCCGCTCTTTTGTATCAGCCTTCAACCAGCCAGGCAGTACTTCAAATATTTAATGTAGTTAAGTAAAATTATTTAAGAATCATATTAATAATCTAATAATATCATAAAAATGCTAATTTAACATCCATTTGTTACTATTTTAAAAACAAGTTTCCATAAAGCTAGGCAACACTGCTGATAGTTTTTGCCATCTGAAGCAAAATCGTCCTTTAAAACACAAAATACAAGACTGCACATTCCCAGACGCACTCTCCTGTAGCACGCATTACAACAGACGCTGCCCACCTGACAGTACCGCACTCGCACAGTCTGTAATTTTGATTTGCTTATTTATTTCTTGCCTCAGAGCATAAGCCGACCGCAGCCGAGTGAATATGTCAGTTTTATTTATGTTCTTCTTTTATTGGAATTTGAGCTGTGAGTATGTACCGAATAGTAGTTGTTTATTTATTTATGGGGTTGATCCCCAACAGTTTTAAATTGTTTAAATCTATACAAAAAATTTTTTTTCATTTTTTTATATTAATGTCTGCGTTATTAATTTGGAGCATTTAATACATTTTAATTTCATTTTATTTATGGTCTTCTTGAACTTTAAGAGAAAGATTTTAGTTATCATGATATATAGCAATAGCGACTGATATGAAAAAAATCATTAAAAATCGCTGCACCTGTATAATAACTATACAATAAAAATATTCAGTTAATGTATATGTGTGATGGTTATGCATATATTAAATAAAAAAACAGTCATTTAGCTGTCTGGCCTCCACCTGTACTGTTTTATCTCTTGCTGCTTTTGTAACAGTGTTGTCGGATGCAGGAGGGAGCTGCTTTCAGCTGGAAACAAAACTGCGTCCATGAGTTATTCAGTACCAAAAAGAAAGCAGACACAGTCCCTGAAACGCTGTGGAACATTTAGCAGCTGTATTAGGTAGATAATTCACTCAAGGTGACAGACAGCAAAAACAGCTGAAAGAGGCTGAATTCTGGTAGCCTTGATTCAAAAGAAATGGGAATCTTATCCATAGCTGAATTTGTGAAACAGGGTATGAAAACCAGGCTCAAGTCCAACATTTTTTATGTTTTATGTTTCTTCAAATTTCAAAAGATTAACATGCAAAAAAATTCCATCTTTTTATTTTCTATAAATTTCTTACTTAAAGAAGTGAAACTGTGTCCATTCTTTGAATTATTGCGGTTTAGTAACGACACAGATGCAGAAGTAGTCGCTTGTAGCACATTCAGAAATGATTTAACTTCTAATAAAAAAACTCCACCAGGTTTACAAGAAACCGTCGATCAAACGCAGTTCACACATCGTTATCACCACAGACCAAAGACAGGAAGGTTCAGCATCATCCCCTGGGGTGCGTTGCTGCTCAGCTGGGGGGGTTCCCCTCATTGCCGAGAGGCTCGATGAGGATTCGGGGCACTTTTTATTTCATGCATCAGAAACAGTTCGATAAACTAACCCATTTTTTAGACATAGTTTTGAGAGATATTTGGAGGCAGTGAAGTTAAGATAGCAAACACTGGAAATACTGGAAAGCTAAATTGTTCATGATTGCATCATTGTTTTCATGCGCAGCTGGGATTCTCAGCTTTTCGCATGCCGCGCCACGTTGACGTGTTATCCTGACTACACGATCCTTTCTGCTTCACTCTCAAACTACAGTTCCCCACCAATTACTGCTTCAATTACACGTCTTTCCATGCCGTCACTTTGCCTATAGCATAAACACAGTGACAAGGACATTAAACCTAATTAAGCTCATCATGTGGTTGCTACAGTAACAACTTATAAGCTAGTGTGTAGATGTTTGCAGTGTGACTTCTCGAGGGCATAAGAACAGAATTTATAGTGTTTGCATTAGGAGCACGAGTCCTAATGCGGCTCTGTCCTCCAAACAGGCACAGATGTGAAGGAAGCACAGGTCATTTGTGTCTCCACGGGAACCAAATGCATCAACGGTGAGTACATGAGTGACCGCGGCCTGGCACTCAATGACTGCCACGCTGAGATAATTGCCCGACGCTCGCTCATCAGGTACCTCTACACTCAGCTGGAGTTCTTCCTCAGGTCAGTGTCAATTTGTTTATTTTTTTGATAATCTGATGAAATCCTGCAGCTCTCTGTTCTTCTAGACTTTGAATGTCCGTTTTAAATACAGGTTTTGTGACATTTGTCTGCCTCTGTTTCAATTTCTCATCGATCCGTGGTTATAGCAACAACAAGGAGGACTACCACAAATCAATATTTGTGCTGTGTGACAAGGGAGGCTACAGGTTAAAGGATAACGTTCAGTTCCACCTCTACATCAGCACCTCTCCCTGTGGAGATGCCAGGATTTTCTCTCCACACGAGGCCGGAGTGGAAGGTACGCAGCCTCGCGTCTCCTCCCCAGCTCAGCTCTCACATGCTTTTAGTTTAGTCTCGTCCAGTTTAGTATTCAGTGTTGACGACAGGTTTTGTTTTTTTTAATTTAATTTAATTTGTAAAGTTTTCCTCTCGTGCTTCATTTCAATTAATTAGAATTTTACTCCACTGTCCAAATACACATTACAGACACATTTAAACAAGGCAGTAGTAATTATAGCTTTTTGTCATTCTCTGTCTGCCGCTATCAGTCTTTCTGCCGCCCAGCACACCCACACTGTCTGTCTGATTAACCTCCCTCTTACTCCTGTCAGAGAGTCTTCCGTTGCACATGGCAGGCTGAATAAAAAACAGCCACATTCAATTAGTCACTGAATAGATGGCGCCTGCTGGTGGAACAGCACAAAACTTTGATAACATAATAATAAATAACGGGTCACGCTGGGTGGGAGCCATTTTTACTGCCGGTAGAATAACTGACTGTGGCAAAAATCACTCCTGTTTACTATACAGTCCATTATATACTTAAGTTTCACAATTGTATGTGTCAGAATTCTCAATGAGGAAGTCTGTCCACCATTAAGTGCTCACAAAAAACTCTACAGCTGAATAACAACTTAATGTACATGCCAAGGATGCAACTTTTTTAAGCTGCAGTTAGGGCTGCGCGATTAATCGTTAGAAAATCGTGATCTCGATTCATACTTATGTGCGATCTCATTTCCAAATGACAACGATTTAAAAAAAAAAAGAAAAAGACGACGACGATTGTACCGCATTTTGATCCGGGACGTAATCTGCATGAAAACAAGCGCTCACTCTTCCTGCTCAACAAATGACAAGGGCGGAGCCTTATACCACGTGATACAGAAGCTGTGCTGCTAAAATTAGCAGGGAAACAACGGAGAGCACGTCAGGGATGACGAGAAAGTGACAGGAGAAAATCCGTCCCGGTCAACCACCCAAACATCAATAACGGGAACCTTATACAGCGCTTCCCTATACACGTCGAACTCCCGCAGGCACAAAGAAATTACGGAGGCTATTACTTATCACCTGACCAAAGATATGGCTCCCATCAACACTGTGCAAAACGAGGGATTTAGGAAAATGATCAACACCCTAGACAAACGCTACACAGTGCCGTCCCGCAACTATTTTTCTATTGTTGCACTACCTGCTCTATACACGCAGTGCGTCGAGCAACGGTGGAGACGGAATTTCAAGCAGTACAACATTTTGCGGCAACAACAAAACGTGAGACATTTGTTGTTTTTATGTTCAGTCTCAACTGTTACGAAGTTGATGTGCAGTTAATAAGTGCAATAAATATTTATACTGGAAAAGAAAATCGTGAGAGAATCGTGATCTCAATTCTAAGCAAAAAATCGTGATTCTCATTTTATGCAAAATCGTGCAGCCCTAGCTGCAGTGCAAAAACACTGAATTGAATACATATGGTGGATCGGTGGTGTAACAGATTTCAACCAAAGCTTCTGTTTTTGCATGTTGAGGAGGTAGATTTTTGTATATATTAGCATAGAAATGGGGAAAGTAATTTTTTTGGCATTTGAGGTTTTATGTAACTTTTTTTTTATAACTTTTTTCACAAAAACACAACCACAACAGACAAAACTTCTGTTTTAAAATGTCAAAGTCAAAACCTTGACTCACACTTTAAGAGTGTAAACAGGCAAATGCTTTATACATCCCAAAGGATGGGATGTATAAAGCTGCCAAAGTATGCAAAACTTCAATAAAACACATTTAAAATCACAGAAGAAGAAGGTTACACTAAAGATGGAACTCGGTTAAATAGCAAATGCAAAAAATGGTAAATGGCCTGTATTTGTATAGCGCTTTACTGGTCCCTAAGAACCCCAAAGCGCTTTACACTACATTCAGTCATTCACCCATTCGCACACACATTCACACACTGGTGTTGGCAGCTACATTGTAGCCACAGCTGCCCTGGGGTGCACTGACAGAGGCAAAAAAACAGCGATTCAGTAAATCTAAAAACTGTGGTAAAGATTTTCTGTATCAGTCACTGTGGGAGTGGAGCTCTAACCGGTTTTAGACGAACCAGTTGTATATGCAGAGGACGGCCTGGATCCGTTAATTATCCACATCCTATCACAGCCATGGTCAGTTGGATAAGCGCTACATCAGCTGATGGAGGAAAGTTTTTCATGTTCCCGAAAATGTCAAAACTTTTAGGTTAACACACAAAAAACACATTTAATTTATTCATGATAATTTATTCATATTTTCTATAAATTCCTGCTATGGGTGAATCTATCCACCAGTAACACGTCTGGGATTAAACCAACTGTCAGTCGCAACTAGTGCCATCGTTTCTTTTCACGGCTCAGATTAATCTTCCTCCCAAAAAGTCCCAGAGCCAGCAATGTTCATACTGTGGTCCAAGAAGTGTGAGCGAGGCAACATCTCACCACAGCAGACCGTGAAACACATCAGACTACACCCACAGTGTTCCCCCTGGGTCTACTCACCAAGTTGTTCATCTTATTGTCCAAACACCTCACATTCCCCATGATCATCCCTGAAACTGTTCTGGAGCCCAGTCGTTTCCTCGGTAGCTCCTCCGGGATTTCAGGCCTCGCCGCAGGCCATAGGGTGATCAGTGCAAACAGCTCATGGAGATATACATTAACAAGAGTCTAATATAAGGAAAAAAACACAAGTAGACTTGCAAAACTTGACTTGACAAGACTTGATAAAGGAAAAGTTTGCATTAAATCATGAAAATAAAAGAAATTCAAAGCAAAAGAGAGCTACTGCAACAGGTTCCCACTCAACAGCGTTTCCTCATTTTTCCTGCTTTTTAACTGAAGAAAAGTAGAATGACACAGATTCACCCACACATTCACTTTCTTTAATGTTTCCTGATCAAACAAACTGTATCACTCTATCACCAACAGACTTCATGTTCCAAACATCAAACAAGTGTCACATAAAACTATATAAAAGAGTAAATTAAACTCATACTCCTCTCTTCCTTTATGTGCTTCTGCTTATGTGCCACCCAGACCAAGGAGACAGACATCCTAACCGGAAAGCGCGCGGTCAGCTGAGGACCAAAATCGAGTCCGGGGAGGGCACCATCCCTGTAAGGTCCAGCAACACCATCCAGACCTGGGACGGTGTTCTTCAAGGGGAGCGATTACTCACCATGTCCTGCAGTGACAAGATTGCGAGGTATTTTGGGATAAATTGAGTTCAGTTGTCGTCCTTAGACATATTCAGAAACTCTGTTTCTAAGTGCAAAGTACAAACCGAGGAGCCTCTCACGAATAAAACAGATAAAACAATATAAATAAACCAAAATATCAAAGTACACTTTAAAGAATATTTTTTTTCTTTTTTTTGTCACAATTAAATATGTTAACTTCTATTTGTGGAACTTTTAGAGCAAAGGTGAAATCAGTTTTCTCAGTTCCATGAACTGGAACTGGGACTAGTACTACACTGGTTTCTGGCATGAAGGAGGCTGGAAGCTGAAGGTTTAAGTCAACACCATCAGAAATGTAAAAAACAGATGCTTCTACACGTCTGTACATACCTACAAGTCTCCTGTTATACAGTATATGTGATTCCAGGTCACTAAAGATGATGAATTATATTAATAGAAACAATTCCATACATCGTGGACATATTGACAGAAATGTCAATATCAATAGAGTCATGCTCCTGCAGGCTTTGCGTTACCCGTTGGGTTTTCTCCCATTCTTAGACCGATATGATGATTGAATTGCTTTCTGTGTGTTATTAGAAACCTTTAGTTTAGCGAAGGCTGCATAAAGCAACACGTCATGTTTCAGCCCTGACCAGATGTGTTACATGAGACTCTTTTCAGGTGTTTTATTTTCCACTGCTTCAGTCGACTGTACAGCGCTTTATCTTTGCTTTGTCCATCCACCGTGCCATTTCAAGCCTTCCCGGGGTGTCAGGGACAGCTAAATTGATATACTGCCCCCGGGGCCATCTTTGCAGACACATCATAGCATCTTTAGTCTGTGTCCATGTTCAAGGCAACACTCTGCCTCTCTCGTGATGAACGGTGAAGCTTCTCCATAACTCCTCTCGTGAGCCCTCTTCCTCTCGCTTTCTGTGCCCTGGATCATAATATTTTGCCCGAATGGACCGAGTGATTGAATGCCCAGTGTGTATTTGAGGAGGGACATGTCTACTGACTGGCAAATGCTGTTTGCACTACATGAGCTGCCCTTTCACTGTGTGATTTAGATTTTATGTGGTGGTCCATCGTGGAGGGATCCAAGTCAGTAGAGGGCAAAATAAGGTGGAAGTTGGACGTTTTTAAGTCTGACTAAATTTTTAAAGTTGACACGAGTTACAGATCAGTGCTGAAATCAAGAAGCAGAAAAAAATGCATGTAAGCAATTAAGGTATGAGTATCTTTCTTCCACTGTGAGAAACTATTATGCACGACTTGCAGCGCAACCTCCTCATGACACGGCTATTAGCCGTGTCAGAAATCCTCCACCCACCTGCCTCTGTCCCTGTGTGAGTGATAGTTAGCAACAGGGCTGCCGTTCAATGCAGCTACTGACGGGCAGGCTGTGCCCTGTGCCCCCAGTGCTCCCTCGTTACACATTGTTTTCGCTCCTCTCATTTTCCTCTGATTACACGGCGTCGTTATGAACGAGCCATTCTCTGCCTCGTGTCTGTCCTTTGAATGAGTTCATTAGCATAAAGGCAAATTGTTCTCTCGGTTTTCCTCTTTTCTTTTGTTATTGCTGTAACAGCTCATCACGTGTGCTTTCTGACCTATTCTGACCCTGTTCTCATTTGAGTGTGTACAATCTGTGTGTAGACGCACAAAGCACGGTATTGGGGGGAGGGAAAAAAAGCGATAAAGCAATACAGTGATGTTTGACAGGAATGAAATTGAATGCCTCTCACGACATAACTCTGTGTGAGCGCGCTTGATTGTTGTAGCTTTTTACCCAGTGTGTATGTGTGTCCTTCAGAGGGGATACAGGTGTATATGTGTCACCGTGTTGCTGTGATGAAACAGCGTGAGTGTGTGTGTGTGTGTTGCAGCAGTTTGTGTACGGCACAGAATATTATAAAGCTGTTTGACTGGGCTGAATGTGTGAACGTGTGCTTTCCTGCTCGCAGCTACAGTGAATTTAGATATTTTATTTTGCCCTCCCGCCGTTCCACACACGCCTTCTCACAAACGCGCACACAGAATATTGCATACGGAAACAATGGACCCTCTGCGTAGCCTGCGGTCTTTTGCATGTGTGCATATTATTTTTGATTGTTTTGGGTTCACATTGGTAATTTCACAGACTCTCAAACAGTCTGCCTGAAGTAAAAGGGAGAATGAGAAGAGCTAGCCAACCCTCATTTTGTAATGTTCTTCTAAAGACAAAGGGTAGTGATACTCACGGTTTTTCTCTCAACGTCAGCGAATGCAACAGGAACACCATCGCCAGTGATGAAGTTGTCCAATTAAGTAGCAGCATCACTTTTGTAACCAACACTTTTGTTCATTAGGGTTTTTTGTGCCTTGTAGCTGTGTTGTCAAAAACCTTCAGTATCACGAGTCATCATTGAAACTGATGTAACTGATGATGGTGTTCCTGCAACACTATCACAGTATAGATGCTTTGTTTTGAGTATAAATATAGACAGTGTATTGGTCCCACCCTTATTATCATATTATTGGACGTAATTACTGCTACGCCTCATCTCACAAACATCCTGTTAGTGAACTCGACTGGACTCTAGAAGCTACATTAAAGGTGTTTTGATGCTGCTGGAGAACACAACACAAACAAAATTATTGTGACTGTGTGCAATGAACGTTCAGTCTCATTGCCTTTGAAATGTTTGCTTCGAAGGCTGAGACTAGGTCTGCAACCACTCTCAGCCATCTGCAGAGTGACTTTGATGCATCAGGACAGCAATAAAATGGCGAAAAGACATTTCAGTGTGATGTAAGTTTGAGACTGAATTGGGTCAAAGTGGCAGTTACAGAGATTAACTGTGATAAATATGTGTAAATTTCAACTCTGTTGCCGTTTCTTGCAAAGCTGCTGTCGTGTACATACACAGAAATTCACCTTAAAAGCTTTCGTTCAGAATCTCATAGATCTGACATGTTGCGCACAAGTCGTGCCTGTCGCTGCAGACGGTTCAGTGCATTAGTAATCTGTCTCTGTTTAAAAACTGGATTATAGATTATGGTTTGCAGGTTTATACAAACCATCACCAATCTGTCTGTTTGGAGATAGGTTGCACTGTGCAGTCGAGTCCAGAGGTTGAGGGTATTGCATGCAACTATTTGCTATCGGTCACTGTTCATAAACTAATTAAATACAGGGACCGAGAAATCACCAAATATTCCTAGTAACGAGGTTGCCTCCCTGATTTTCCTCTGGTGTGACTGAAACATGGACACTAGTGTTATTTAGTACTGGATTTAAATTTTCTGTCTTAAAAATGAGCTTTTCATTCATCTAAATAGTTTTAGTGATTAAACCTTAACAGGAATATTTTGAGGCCAAAAAGACAAACCAGTTGCTTTGCTGCTTCAACATTACCAAATAGTTTTGGAGCATTAGACCTCATCAAACGTACCCAAGCAGTGACTGAAAGCAGGAGTAACCTGTCAGTGAAAAGAGCCTTTTTCTTTGATTAAACATTTCAAATGTTGCAGATGTATGTCTTTGAATTCGGTGGGTTTGGAGCTGAATGCCATGTGCACGGTCTGGAAAGCAGGTCATCACTGGGTTTTGAGCTTTCGATGGGATTTGTTGACAGATAAAATGCACTGTATAAGATGCCAGCAGCCTTCAGCACCACCTTTCTCTAACATTTCCCACATCTGTTATTTTTCTTCATTTTTCTCGCTCTCGCTTTTTCTTTGCCTTCACACCCTTACTGACTCTTTCTCCATCTACCCAGAGAGAGAGAGAGAGTTAGAGAAACTTCTCTAACTCTCTCTCTCTGGCTCCTTATGTATTTGTCTTTCTGCGAGGAGGGCAGGCACTGCTTCACAGAGCATGTAAATAGGAGAGTGACTGGGGAAAGATGGCTAATGGCACAGCCTGGAAATAAACAGAAGTTTGGGAAAAATGGAATTGGATACCTCACACTGTAGATAGCTGTAGGACGTCAGATAGGACTCAGTGTTCATGTACTAATATGCAGTATTAACTCTGTTTTTGTGTGTATTCCAGCCAGCCTGTGAACATTACAGCGATGTGCTGCCTGTACACTGAAATCCTAAAACTGCCTCAATGATACGTTGAAGTTGTTGTGAAGCTCGTGTGCTTTTCTCTCTGCAGGTGGAACGTGGTGGGCATCCAGGGCTCCTTGATGAGCTACTTCACAGAGCCAATCTACTTCTCCAGCATAATCCTGGGCAGCCTTTACCATGCTGACCACCTCTCCAGGGCCATGTACCAGCGCATCGCAGATATCGAAGACCTGCCCCAGCAGTTCACCCTCAACAGGCCTCTTCTCAGCGGTAAGAGCCCTCGCCTTCTTTGATGTAGATGAGGTGGGAAAGTAAGAAAAGTGCATCATCAAGTTTCCTTCTGCAGATCTCTGCTGTTATAGATCAGTCATCACGATTTCACGGGTTGAGAGGATCACTGTGTTAATCTTTACCAATCGACCTGCAGCTGTCTAAATATCAAAGAGGAAGATTTTAATCCTAAGCAGTAAACACATTAATTCACCCTGCTGGTCAGTCAGTCCCGCAGGAACAGGAAGACAGTTATTGCTTTTCTCCTTTTGTTGGATCTGAGCTGACATTTACCTAGTTCCTGTGGAATTTGAATAGCTTTATCATTTTGTGTAAATTTTCAGCATTGTCTTGACCTTTTAAAAAGGCCGTATAGACCAGGACTCCTGCAGTGTTTTCTTCTCTCTCTCTCTTTTCAACTTTCTATTTTTAGATGCAGAGCATGCAGTCTTTGTATTTTGGTTGTTTTTTGTAAGACAATGCTGTGTTTGAGGAAAGATGAGTCTGCTTTCCATTTGCATTTCTGCTCCACTTTTTCCACTTAATATTGTTTTTCATTTAAAATATTGTATATAAAGACATTTGCAAGAAGTCATAAATTATTATGTAAATGTTTGGCTCCAGCCCTGCTTATTTACAGTTGCTTTGAAGCTTATAAATGAGTATTAGGGCCGCATTAAGAAAAAAAAATATGTATTGTTAATTTTGAGAAAAAAGGTGGAAATGCGGAGAGTTTCTGCTGCTGCTGTACTCTCTACAAAATGCCTTGTGTAGGCGAGTTTTTCTGATATAACATACATCCTCTTTACTGCATGAGGGCGTACCTGTCAGTATCCCTGCATTTGTTCATTCCCAGCTGTTTCATTTTGCAGAAGTTTGGCCAACTCTTACAAGTTTGTGTTTTTTCCTTCTGATTCAGCTTTCTGCACCATCTTTTCAACGTCCTTGAACTCATTATCGCGCTCTGTTTATCTGCTAAGAGAGAAATTATTTCCTTGTTACTAAAACTGATTCTAAAACACGATTTCAATAACTCATCTGCACAAAGCCTTTGGCCGTAGCAGCTGTCGTTGAAGCTCCTTCTTTCCACATAAATGCAGTTTCCAGTGACAGCAGTGGGCTGTTTTTGAAACACTGGGTCTTTAATTTCAGACTGAAGTAGACAAAAGACACACAAACAAGTTTTTATTTCAGACAGCGAACCACAGTCGCCACTAACATCGTTACGTAACTCATATAATTTGGCAAATGTGGAGCTGCTATGAGCCCAGTGTCCAGCACCAGCTTACAGACGATGTTTATTTATACAGAGAGATTTATTGGTTTGAAAAAATAAATCTTTAACTAGATTTCAAAAGTTTAATCCATTCATCGCTCCTTTTGTTGCAATTTTTTTTGTGTTTCAGAAAAAAAAGCCTAAAGTCCAGTTATGGTTATAGAGTTGCAGCTGTCACAGATTTTGACAGTTGCCAAATGGGTTTAATGAGCAATGAATAATAAACAATAATAGGCAAAGTTTGTACAGTGGCACTCAGGGTCCTTTCGTCACATTTTATTGTCACCTTTATTTTATCAGGATGTCCCGCTAAGATCAAAATCAAATCAAAATACTGTCAATTATTATAAGACACATTAGAAGAAAATGTTGCTTTCCCCAGATCTGTCAGAGCTATAGGTGCATCCAGAAGCAACCATTAAGAAGAGTGTAGCTGGGAGAAAGGTCCTGCTGTAGACTGGAAGTTCTAGAGTGGCTTCATAGAGAAAAATATGCTAAAATATACCAGACGGCCAAACCACAAACCATAAAGAACGTCGTGGTGAGTCAGAGACTTTGCATTTGTAATAAAATGTAGGGATGAAGGAGGAAGCATGCATATACAATATATCATCATAATCAATTACAGGAAAAAAACACAAGTTAGTAAAGTAAGATTTATTTTGTAAAGTAAAAACCAAGCATCACTTTATGATTACTAATGAGATTAGCAACGTATATATTAAAGAGAAACTTGTCCATCCTTCTATCCGGAAATCCTTAAATCCGGTTATTTTGGACAATTCCGGTCCGGAGGCAGCAGTCTAAGCAGAGAGGCCCAGACAGTCATCACGTCCACCTCATCTGAGGGTGGGGCACACCAAGTCGTTCCCAAGTCAACCGAGAGATATAATCTCTCCAGAGTCCTGTCACTAAGAGAAAGCCCAGCTACCAAATGAAGGAAATTTCCATTTCCATTCCATTTCCACTGCTGCTATCTGCGACCTCATTTTTTCTGCCAGTACCCAGAGCTCGTGACCACAGGTGAGGGTTGGAACGTAGATCGACCGGTAAATTGTCAGCCTCACTTTCACGCTCAGATCTCTCTTCACCATTACAGATCTGTGCAGATCTTGTCATCTATCCATCCATCCAGATACTTGAGCCATGTACCCTTTCACTGGTTTTGCCATCAGATGTAACAATGTAATAATCATCAAACCCCATTGGGCGAGCTTTGCTGAACACCATATATTTTGTTTCCCGAACATTTAACTTGAAAGTGTCTCAAAAGCACATCTGCTGTTCCTCTTCATGTACATGTAGCATCATCACAAAGTCCAAAACAGACAGAAGGATTCTGAATACACGTCACAGGTCGCAGATATTTAAAAATATGCTGTCAGCATCATTCGTCAGTGCTCTGAAACAGCTCGTGGATGATAACCAAACGAAATCAGTCCCTCATAAAATGGATGAAGACACTTTGCTGTGGAAATTGGATTGTCCTGATGAGTTAGATTGTACATAGAAGCAGAAGTGAAGGAGCAACACCACAAAACAATAAATAGATTAAAAATACACATGCAGAACAATAAAACTAGCTCTCATGTGGGAAAGGAGGTAGTGATGCTCTTTAGAGGTGTGGGTGATTATTCTGCAGCAGCCGCCTCCACCTAACGGTGTTATATTCTGAGTCTGAATTTTTCAAACTGAATAAAAATCCATTCATTCATTTCTAAAGAAACTGAGAGTCATTTTCTGACTTTCCTACTTGAGCTCCATCAAACACGAGCAAGTGTTTAATTAAAATTTTGACATTTTCAGCTTTGTTGGACTGCTGCTCTGTTTTCCACCAAAACATCCAGCTGGCCGTGCCTCTCTTGCCCAGCTGTGCGCTGATACAAACACGCAAAGCAAAGTTCAAGGTCAAGAAAATACCAGACTGCTACAGCACTGCTTACACTGCTCATTGTGCTGCCATGAATATAGGGCAGTCCATATCAAACAAGTGGAATGAGTGGCACTGTGGAGATTTCCTTTACATCCTGGGGGATGACATGGGGCTTCATATCACACAGCCAGGATGTACGTTTAGCTCACCCTGCTCCTTCCCTCTAAATGGCAAGTAAAGGAGATAATGGTGGAAGGTTATTAACCTTTTCCGCTTTAGAGAGTTTTTAGCGGTGAAAGTGCTGTGGCGTTAGAGCGCTGAGGATTTCATCCCCTTTAAATCATCTTCTGCCACAAGTGCTGCCAAATGGAACCAAGGAGCTTAATGCACACACACACACACACACACACACTCTCACACACACACAGAGGAAGACACAAGGATTTATGGCATCCATATATCTCCCATTTATGCTTAAGATACAGTGGAGGCCAAAGCCCTGAAGTGTGTTAGACGAGAGCGAGCTCTGTCCTCACAGTCCCCCCCAGGTGGATTCTACTGTTTGTCTCTACTGAGTTAGACAAAATGAAATGAGAAGAAGAAAAACTGTCCTGTTTAGAGATATTGCAGCTGTGGGAACAGCTGTCCTTTGGAAGGATGGACTGCCATGTTTGGGTACTTCCTTCATTGTTTAATACATCCACACATGAGGTAATAGAAAGTCTGGGTGCTGTGGGAATTCGCTGGAGCGGTGCCGTGCAATTATTCCATTTCTGGCATTGACGTAATGTTAACAAAAGATTTTTACATTCTGCGGAGGTCCTATAAATAAAAATGTCTCTGTTTTAACCTGCAGCCTCGCTCGGTCTTTGACTCTGGGTGTTTTTAATGGCAGGTATAAGTAATGCTGAAGCCAGGCAGCCAGGCAAGGCTCCAAACTTCAGTGTGAACTGGACGGTGGGTGACCAGGCCCTGGAGGTGATCAACGCAACCACGGGCAAGGACGACATGGGCCGCGCCTCACGGCTCTGCAAACACGCACTCTACAGCCGCTGGGTGCGCCTTCACTCCAAGGTACGGCGAGGCCAGAGCGCACATTCACACGCACCTCGCTGTAATACTGGCGCAGACGTGCTGAGTCACGTGACATAACTATAGTTTCTTACATAAGTGATTGTGACAGTGAGTCGTAAACAGACTGAGGTCAGCTGCAGTCAGCATCACGAGCTGTACACGTCTGAACCACACGTACTTCAGTGTGGCATCTCAGGAATCGCAGCTAAGCTACGAGGTCATTCCTTGGAAGCTCTGTTCTGATTGTTTGCACGTGAGCGATGTCACTATTGACCTCGCACAGAGAGCAAAGGTCAACTTTGGTGTCAAACAGACTCAACTTAAATGTTGAGAATGAAAGCTGGATCTCTGGCTACAGCAAGTCCAAAGGATCGGCTCAAGGAGCAGTTTTTTCTAACATTAACATCGCTTTCTGGCATGACTGTGATGTGGAGTGTGTTGCACTGTGCTGAGACGTGTGTGTGAGAACATCTCCCTGCTATCATACACCCACTGACTTTGTCCACTTTCCCAATGATATCATTTAACGTTTAGACACGTTAGTAGTCAGAGCCTGACTTCCAAGGAGTGCAAACAAGTTTCTTTTTCTTTGTGTGGTAGGAGCTGAGATTTTAGATTAATGCGTGGTTGTTTTTGGTTTGTTTCTGTTATTCTGTTGCTTACTTTCCTTTCTCTGCGTCCTCAGCTGTCGTCCATCTTGCGGATCAAGGTGTCGAAGCCGAGCTCTTACCACGAAGCAAAGCAGGCGGCCACAGAGTACCACTCTGCCAAGCAGGCGCTCATCAAGGCCTTCCACAAGGCCGGCTTGGGGGCTTGGGTCAAAAAGCCCATCGAGCAAGACCAGTTCACCCTCAGCTCCTGAGGGAGTCGAGGGATTCCTTAACCACCCCCTCCTCTTTCCCTGACCCAGGCCTGAGAGAGCCCCCGTATTAACAAGCAGACACTTACTTCCGTCCCATGTGTCAGCACGCACGTGCACTTTGTATTTGTGGAAATGAACGTGCGCCGTTTCACAAACCATCCGTAACTCATCATTCTCATTCCTCAGAGGACATCAGCCTCGTGTCTTTGATTTAACTTTTTACTTTGATTTTACTGTGTAAAACTGGAATCCATGTTTTGTTTTTTCGTTTAACACGCACCCATTTGTTTCCCAGAGAAATCATGTTCTTATGGCGTAGATGTGGAAGCTGAAATTATACCGTTCTGTCTTGTTGATCAATGAGTAGCTAATTTAGGTCGGAATGTAGCCTAGAAACGGGATCTTTGTTGACTAAAACCAATGTATATGGACCTAAAACAATATATATCTTTGCTAAAATTAATGACACTGACAAATTTTAATTTAATTATGCATAAATCTTCAAGATGTAAATCTAGTGCTGAGAAAAACATAAGCGTTGTAACGTTTAATGTGTGTTATTTGGTCCGTTCCTTAGCTGAGACTACGTGTTCTTATCCTCTGGATTAAAGATACAAATGTTACAAAATGTTGTCGCCCTGTTTGAGTCACTGACTGGAAAGAGTTTATAAGGCAGGTGTGACAGCGTCGTAGCGCTCTTTCCTTTATTTTTATGTCGTGTTCATTCATCTGTGCGTATGATTTTTAAGTTATTTTATGTCACTCTCATTTCATACTTGAACAGATGCGAGGGAGGGGTGAGGGTCACGTTGACTGCCCCCCCCCCACCCCTCGCCTGGGTCTTGGGAGAAGCTTTGGGAGGTGCTGCACGTTGTATTTTTTTCTTGATCCAAGCCATGGCTTTGCATGGAAACTGAACTTAGAGGCCTGCAGAGCGGAAAACGTAGGATGGGGAGCCCCGTGCGTCCGTCGGCGAATGATGTTGAATGAATGCCAGCATCTTCCTCCACAGGCAGCTTTGAATCTTTGTCTCTATTTTCTAGATTTCTTGTGATTGATTGTTTGATTTTTGAGGGAAGGGGGGGATGGGAACAATTATTTTTTTCACCCTTAGGCATTTGAGGACTGGGGCTAATGCCACAGTGAACATAGCGATAGTATAACGGACCTCTCAGATCTTGTAATTATGTCATTTTGTTGCAGGGAACAATGATGGCTGACAGATGACATGGTATATATGTACTGTAGCAGCACATACAGTATATCACTAGATGCAATCCCTCCACATTATTGTGTGCGGAATCAGCTAGATGAACAGCAGAGTAAAATGCAACCCCTGCATGAGAAGACTCAGAAGTCGTATGCTAAAATGTATCACAGTGTGATGTCATGTTCATCCTCGTCCTCTCTACGCCCAGTTAAGAAACATGTTAGCTGCATATTCCATGTTGTGAATTAACTCGATTCCTGTACACCCCGAGTGCATAAATGTCCTCATGTTTTCAATTTGTAAATGAGGATGTTTTCCCGCGGTGACTTCCTATTTCCAGCTGCGGGAAATTTCTATGTGCGGGTGTGCGTGCAATTAATGTGTGTGCTCAGGTTGTCTTTAAGCATATTCCTGTCAGATTTTCACCAAAGATGATGATGTCCATGTGTGTTTCTGCCCCAGTGTTTTCCTTTTCTTTTTCAAATATCTAACATCGTGGCATCGACCCTTTACTGTCCGGTCTTTTGCATACCCGCACAACAATGTACTACTTTTACTTTGTACAAAAACGATGTGCTCGATTCAAAGTGGGAGAAATACAAATGTCAGGCTTCTTTAGTGCATCTGTAGCTGTCAATCAGTGATCATGTGTATATTGTGAGCTGCGATCATTATTGCTGCAAAATACTAGTTCTGTGTAAATAAGGAGCAACAAAGGCAACACGTCTTCTGACCTGTACAATCGATTCATCCTCAAGAACAAAAAAAACCCAAAATGTTTTGATCCCTCCTCTGTTGCCGAGATTGTGAAGATGTTACTGTTGCTAAGTAAGTATTTGTGATTCTGTGTCACTCACTGGGCACCATAAAGCATGGCACTAACACTGCCGGGGTCAACATGCTTCATCCCCATTGTAGCCACCCATGTTTTAAAAAAAAATATGCACTGTAAAGTGCCTAAGCTCAAAGTGGCATCCACCAGCTGGCACGTGTGATGTCATGTATGTACCTTTCACTTATACTTGGTTGTTTTTGGGGGTATTTTTGTTTGTTTGTTTTTAGTCAGTATTTAAAAAGCAGGAAGCGGGGACTCCCAGAGTAGAGTTAAAGTTAAAAAAAAAAACTTAAAAAGTATCCAGTGCCCCCCCGACAAACAGATCCAGACCAAAGTCTCGAGCAATACTGATAATATCTCCTGTAACGTCAGGCCAAAACCAACAAGAGTGTCGAGTTTTCCTCCCCTTCTGCTCCTTCGGTTTTCTGTTGGTGTTCTTCGTTTATTCTAAACTGCAAAGATTTTTTAATATAGATATTTCCCCCTGCTTGTTGGATTTTGTTTTCATTTTTAACTGCACTAAAGATGTCAACAGATGATGTCATGATCTCTCTCTCTATACATATATATATATATATATGTATATATATTTAAAAAAAGACAAAGTCCCCATTTATGGATTAGATGGATCAAACTATCTGCAAGAACTGAACTGCTTCTGCTTAACCCTTTGTGAATCCTCAATGATGGTCAGTGCACACCCTCCACCCCACCCCTTCTGCAGCTGCACCCATTGGTGGGGTTCTTTTTTATTTATTTGTTATAATTATTATTATTATGTTTCTTTTGTTTGGTGACTCCAGATCGGTCAGTGTTTGTTAACTGATTTCCAGAGCCACTGCTCTCCGTTCTTCTCCTTCTGCAGTTGTCCAATGTGTGAAACCCTCCCCTGACAAAAACTACAACTTTGCATGTACTACCAACACTGAAGCTGCACCTAGCATGATGACAAACTTTTAAAGGACTCGTGTAGAAAAAAAAGAGTTAACAGCTAAAGATAGATATATAAAGTGAACAAAAAAGAATAAAAGAGTTCTTAGTTTACTTTTGCACATGGTTGGGATTCTTTTTTTATCGCATTTCTGTGTGTGTATGAAAGAGAGAGAGAGTGAGTCTGAAATCATGCGAGAGCATCACTTCAGGTTTGCAGCAGATTGGGACACAGAGACAAACTCCACAGTCTAAACTGTAGTTCATGTGTGTTGGATGAAGAATGCGTGGAGGATTTAACTTGTGCTTGCTATGACTAAACTGTTACTAAGTGAAAATACTACATCATAAAAGCTCTGACTTCAAAACTGCACTTAGTTAAAACTGAGCTTTGAGTCATTGCATCATTTTACAGTGACAGCCCTTCAAAGGCTAGCAGGGTCGATGTGAACGTCCAGGTCATACACACTTTTCAATCAGTCAATTTTGTTTCTGCCTTAATTCTTGATCCCATTGATTCAACAATCAATGGAAACATTTCTCAGTGATTTTGGTCCGTGTTGAAATGCACATCCATGATGCTAATTTCACAGATGGCCAGTTTGAGATAATCTGTATGACATGGTGCGATCTCCTGCTGGAAGCAGACATCAGAAGATGATACACTGTGGTTATGAAGATAGTGGCATGGTCTGCAACAATACTCAGCTGGTTTGGCATCAGTTGATGCAAGGGCCCAAAGTGTTTCCTAAATAATTTCTATACCATTACACCATCAGCAGCAGTCTGAACTACTGATACAAGGCAGGCTGTCATGCTTATACCAAATTCTGACCCTACCATCAGAACAGAAAACTTCTTCCGGTCTTCTATGGTGTAATTTTGGTGAATCTGAGTGAACTGTAGCATCAGTTTAGTGTTCTTAGCTGACAGGTGTGGTCTCGTTCGTAGCTTGGTTGCAACGAGTGGGTGTTTTGCTGCTGGCCTTCAGACCATTCTCTGTAGTCCCCAGAGATGGTTGTGCAGAACGTCCCGGTAGATCCACAGTTTCCCAAACACTCAGACCAGCCAGCAAACACAATAACAGATTTAAATTCGCACTTCTTTCCCATTGATGCTCGGTGTAATCTCAGCAGATCGTCTTAACCATGTCTACACTCCTACATGCATCGCCTCCTTTCTTGTGAACGACTAGTTAGATATTTGCATCAATGAGGAGTTTAACAGGTGTATCTAATGAAGTGGCCAGCGAGTATCCATCTATATAGCTATCTATACTGTATATATCAGTCGTGAGGCTTTATGTAATGGTTAGCTATATTGAAAACTGTGAAGCTCTTATTGGTAAAAGAATTTGGGCACTTGTTGCTGCACAAATGCTTTTAAACTGGTGCTGAGGTTTTGTGTAGACTCACTGTTGTGAGTGTGGATTCAGGACTAGAGTTGACCACACATGCAAAGAAGATTAGTTATGTTCAAAAACTATTTTTGAGGGATATCAGAAGTAGTTTATCAAATTAACAGTTCGTACACTTCGAAAAAGGAGTTTTACTCAAGAAGAACGCACCACAGGGACCGAGGAGCACAAATCTTGTCATGAGTGGAAAATCATTTTCATGGTAGTGAAAACCACAATCCATCAGTGAGGAATGTTCTACAGGATGGTCATGAAAAGAGGGTCCAGAGCATTCATCACAAGCCTATACTCAGCCTCTGAAACCGAGCAATCAGGCTGTATTCTGCAAAAACACACAACACTAAACCCTGCAGAGTAGCATAACAAAGTTTTATGGGCTACTGAAACAAAAATCAACCTCGATCAAAATGTTGGAAGAAAGAAAGTATGGAGAGAAAGCAAGGAAAGCAGACTCTGTTATGGTTTGGGCGCGTATCGCTGCCAGTGGAGCTGGCATTTTGACATTTAGTAATAATTTAGCTTTTGACAGGAGCAACAGGGTGGATGCAGAAGTACACAGAAGCATTTTGTGTACTCAGAGCCAGAGAAATACATCAAATTCACACATTCTGTAATCCTAAATGTGGCAAAAGCAGGAAAAGAGCTTTTCAGCCAAGAGAAGGGCCGGTTATCTGCTCTGATGCCAGTTTATCATAATCATGTACACTTCAAATTAAAGATGTGACATGAACTTTCAACAGAGCTTCAGTTATTGGTGTTTAAGATGTCGTTTTTAATGGAAGCTATTATTTAAGTTTTGATAAGTAAACATGCTCTGTCAGTACAGACGAATGTACCAGAGCACAGAGCCTGGAGATGTGTAACTGCGTGATAGATACTTATGGTCTGGATGCTATTCTGGTTTCATACCCACAGAACACAATGAGCTTACCGGCACAACTCACAACGGTGCCACATGGACCGACTCGGATCAGCTGCTGTATTAATCAGCAGGATGTATAAAACAGGATGTATGCACACTTACCTGAAAACCTCAAGCCCAAGTTGCCTGTGCTTTATAGCATCGTTCATAGTGGATATACTCTGATGCATGTTTGACTTAACAAATCTGCCGATTAACAAACAGCATCATTACTGAAATGCACCCTTACTGCTGCCTGCTGTCGCTGCAGGTATATTTAGGTAAACACGTTTATTTCTCAATCTCAAAAATGTGTAAAATATTTGAAATGCATTTCAAGCATTTCTCCTATTTCATGAAAGCAGCTTAGCTTTCTCATTAAAAAGAGAATTTTAGCATGCGCAATTAGCAAATGTGTTTCACAGTTTATGTCAGTTTAATGAGTTTATCTGTGAACACAAAGGCCTTCAGACACATGTGTTGTTTTCGGGTTTTATTTTTACTACCGTGACTGACCGGTAACCATAAAGCAATCTTCAAACTCTTTAAATAAATGAAGATCTCAGAAAAATGTGAAACCGCGCACGAAGAAATCACGGCGTGCATACAGTCGACAGAGAATGCTTTTAAAATGTGTTTCAAGTCGATGTTTCTGTCTGCACGTCTGATCAGCATCCCAGAAGATACCGACACCGGATCAATAATAAATCACACATGGCTGCTTTAAAACACCAACCCCCCACCCCACGCTCCGCTGACATGATGAAAGCTCGAAAAACAGATTCAAACAGTCGTGACAGGTGAATTCAATAATGCAAAAATCCATCTGCTGAGTCTCCAATACCATGTTGCTCTTTGCATAAATGTTAATATTATCACATTTGTCAGAGATAAAAGTCATACAGTATCCAGCAGCTATATGTGCTTTGTTAGTGTCATGTGTTGTTGTTTTCACTAGTGACAGAAAATGAATGAATGAATTTGATATGACGTTCACAAATGTTACTTAAATTAGACTACTGTAATATAAAACCAGGACATCACTGGAAACAACTGTCTCAGCAACACACGGAGCACAAATGTGGAAATAAAATGAAACATGACTACATACAGTAGAGGCCGGTGAGGCGGCTCAGCCCCCCTGGTGCGGTATACGTGTGAGAGCGAGGGCAGCAGCTTGTGTCCCTGAGAGAAATGACAAATCATTAGCTTTGGTCCAGGGGTAAATGGAAGCCACACTCTTCCAAGGCCCACATTTCCATTTCAATTTTCTGCTCAACAGAGTTGATGTATGTGGCGAATCACATGGCAAGACCAGTCTCCACCTCGAGCCTGCTGTTATTCACTGGTTGGAGTGTGTCTGTGACCTTGTGTCTTCGTGTGTGCGCACTGTGTGTGCGAGTGTTTTATCAAGTGATAGCACTAACTCATTGTCACTGAAACCAAAGCAAAGAGACAAGTGAAGACAGTCTCCAGACTGAAGTGTGATTATAAAAGAAAAATGAAATCAAAGGGCGGCGTGTTTGATGATATGAGCTGACGATGATGAATTAATTCTGTAGATTATAAACTTCTCCTAACTGACACACTCCACCTGAGCGAGCGCATTAAACGAGAAAATTATAAGCTGATGCCGGTGTAGTGCACCGAGAGACCCGCTGACAAAAATGCTACGACAGGTACAACAACAAAAAAGTAGCAAGAAACCTGCAGCCTTGTCTCTCTTCCCAGCAGCTGCCCTTCCAGTACAAACTTTCTCTGACGGCTTGGGAATAAAAAAAAATCTCAGAAATACTTAATAAAACAGTAAAGTGCCAAATAATGTATTTTGAGCATCTCACAAAGACTGCGAGGGGGCATAATGAGCTGCAGTGGGACCACAGACTGAGGAAGTTTAGGCCTCGGGTTCGTACAATAATAATCATGAACCATTAATAAAACAGCATTTCAAGACAGCCAAAAATGTGCTTTTCTAACGGTAGGTGGGAAGTAATACTTTAACACAGTATGAATATGACACATTTTATAAGAAGAGGACGTAAACCAGCAGTTACAGCTCATGTGGTTTGGTATATCTTACTCTGCTCAAAGTGAGGGAGTGTGTAATCAGTTCAGTTTGTTAGCAGACTAGCATCCAGAGTTTTCACAATATCACTGGGTCAAAGTCAAAGTCAAGGTCACACGAAATGTGAAAATTAGCAAAAACTTATAACCCAGTTTTCATGGATTGTCTTCATACTTTACAGCAATATACCAGGCCTAGGGGGGCACAACTACTGACCTTCATTGTTAGTGCCCAAGGTCAAAGTTAACCTTGAAAAAAAATTCCTATAGAGCAATATATCATGGAGAGATTTGTACAGCACACTTTTTTATTTTTTCAATATGACGCCTCGCCTTGAAGTCACAGTGATGCCATAAAGTTTTCCAACACAATATATTTTAAGTCTCAACTTTTTACAGCTTATAAAAGCCAAAGATTTCAAATTATTCTGCTCCAGACATATGAGGATAATACCATTTTAATATGTAATGCTTATGTCTAAAGGTCATGGTCACACGAATTAGGAAAAAGCTTTAGTTTCATTGTCTCCAAACTTTAAATAATATCTTGGTGCTTGGGGAACATAAACACTTTCTTTGTTTGAGCTCTTTTTTCAGTGCAGCATTATTTGACTTCACAGTGACACAAAAAGATTCAGATTTCCATACTAACAATGCTTTTATCAGCACGAATGATATATGAAAACACTGCACATGTCATTATCGTGAAACTTCCATATTATCAATGCTGATGTCAG